ACACAAAGAAATTCACAGGGGAGGAAAGTATCCTAATATGCCTATGACACACGGGGCTTCGGAGCGGTGTTTGGGGAAGGTGGCTCTGCATTATGCAGAGTTCTCTGAAAACGTCTGCCCAACCCTTGTACTGAAGGAGCCAATTAGAATATTAATTGTTGGGAAAGGAAGAGGACAAAACAAAATATTGATGTGCTGCTATATAAATGTGTTTGGTTTGAATGCTGTCTACAGTCCTTGAAAAGGATCTAGTATACCTACAGAATATGGAGAGAACCAGTGAAGGTTGTCCTGGTTTTTGCTGGGCTACGGTTAATTTTCTCCCCAGTAGCTGGCATAGTGCTGTGTTTTGGATTTAGTATGAGAATAATGTGATAACACACTGATGTTTTAGTTGTTGCTAAGTAGTGCTTACATAGTCAAGGACTTTTCAGCTTCCCATGCTCAGCCAGGTGCACAAGAAGCTGGGAGGGAGCATAGCCAGGACAGCTGACCCAACTGACCAAAGGGATATTCCATAGTATATGGCGTCATGCTCAGCATATAAAGCTGGGGGAAGAAGAAGGAAGGGGGAGATGTTTGGAGTGATGGCATTTGTCTTCCCAAGTAACCATTATGTGTGATGGAGCCCTGCTTTCCTGGAGATGGCTGAACGCATCACTTGCTTTGTATATTCTTTTATTATTATTACTACTATTTTACTTTATTTTGATTATTAAACTGTTCTTATCTCAACCCAGGAGTTTTCTCACTGTTACCCTTCCGATTCTCTCCCCCATCCCAGCAGGGGAGAGTGAGCGAGCAGCTGTGTGGTGTTTAGATGCTGGCTGGGATTAAACCATGACAAGGTGTCCAAAGAGATGGAACAACTTCCATACAAAACTGCAAGCTGTATGACTCACTTAGGAAACTGTATCACCCTGGCAGGGTGCTGGAGGGGGAGAAATCAGCATTGCATAGGGCTAGGAGCTGATGAAATGATCTGTCAGAACTTTCAAACAGATGAAGATACCGGGGTTTCGTATGCAAAATGTAATTACGTTTGAAATGAGGCTAGTGGGGGATATTGTAGAAGCCAAAGGTATAAGCGTGTTCAAAAAGATATTAGATACGTTCAAGGAGGTTAGGATGATCCTTGGCACTGAATATAAGTGGTGTGGATGTAATCTCTGGCTTGGGAATTCCCTTTAAACCTCTGATCCCAAACATCTAGGATGTTTTGCCAGAGATAGAATCGCTTACCTTGCTGAAAAGGGTTCATGTTGGAAAAGGATATCAGACCACACCGCCTCTTGCTCTGACCCACTGTAGCAACAGTTAGAATCCTTAATTGGTGCCCTATGGTTGGGTTTCTTTGGGTACTAGATACTTGATTTCAATCTCCATGCCTGTCAACATGACAGTTTTTGCAAGCAGCATTCAAATGTATTTGATTAGATACATCAGTGTCAACTGAAAAGCAATCATGTTTTAGCAGGCATTTTGTGTACCGGCGATGGCTTGACCATATCTGTACAATGTTATCTGGAATCCCACCTTCGCCTTCTACCTGAGCCACTGCCTCAAGTAGTCATGCAGGTTTTGTTACTTTGCTGTAACTTCCTTGCTGAGATCATACGCCGTACCTCAGAAGGGCACCTGGAACTTAGGATCATGGCAAAGACTTTTGCCAGGAAAGCAAGTAGCAGAGTAGTCAACTACAGCACTTTGTGGTAGGAGCAGGGTTCAGGTCTGCTTGTTAGAGGTTTGGTCTTACAGGTTCACCTTTAGGTCCTGCTTACGCGCTATAACTTTCTCGACTCAGCTCGTAACCACACACTGACATAGTTGGCACTATTTTGCTGATAATGCCGGCAGCGATTCCTCCCGGCAGCTTAGGTCGGTGCAGGTGGCGATGCTCCAGTAACCACTTTGGCACACTGATGGTTTTTTTTTTCCTACGTGGGCAGGTCTATAACCAGTCCTGCAAAACTTGTTCAACTAGCCCTTCCTTTGCACAGTTCCCCATGTGCTCAGCCTTCCCACAGCGCCTTGCCTCACGCTTTGCTATGTGCATGTATTTATTCCCTGGTTTACGGCAATAGCTGGAAGCTTTCCAGTGGTGGTTTCGTGGGGAAATGCCAGTTCAAGGAGTTCACAGTGTTCCTTTCAAATTCTTCTGGGTTTCACTTTTGACAGGTGCCCGGTATCGTTTGGGTAGACTCCTGCCATAGTTCCTAGAATAAGGCCTCCATGTCCTAGAGTTTAGGTGCTTTCAGGATCTGGAGTAAGCCTGATGGAAAATAAGGAGCCTCACAGCACTTGCTGTTCACTTTGTGGTCTGTCATTATATCGGAGCATTAGATCTTGCCCCTTCAGCCACTGGTCAAGGATGTTTTTGAGTTCAGGGAGGTTCTGGTTCATGGAAGACTAGTGAAAAATAAACTTTCCTGGATATCGGACATCCTGCTTTTGACTATGTCTGGAAACCTGTATGTTCCCAGAAGGGATGTGCATAAAGACTGGTTGTGTAATGAGTTAATCCATAAACATTGCTAATGCATGAGTTGTGCAGCCAAAGCTAGTGCATCCAAGCACATTTTCCATAACAGCTTATTCATCTTACCTGCTTTCAGTAAACAGAAGTCATTACAAGTGGAGACTTGCTCATTCTTATTAACCAAAATATCATACCTTTCTCTCTTAATTTTGCAATTATAATAATAGCTTGAAGTCTGTATTGAGATAAGGTATCACAGAGGTTAATTGATTTTCATCTTAAGCATCTCTTAGAACATCATAGCCTAATAATGAAGAATCTCCTTTCCCAAAGACAGGCCAAGCGTAAAAGAAAGATGAAGATATTAACACAGGAATAGATGAAGCGTCCACTTCCCTCTGCCGCAAAAACATACTGTAGTTCCGGGTGTGAATGGATCCAATTAAAAAAAAAAAAAAAGCACGCAACAAAACAAACAAAAGAGCCCAACCAGAAACAGGGAGGTGCTGCGTCTCCACTGTTCTGCCTTGTGAGCTGTCAAGAGCTGCTCTGGGAGGGTGAGAAACTGTCTGGTGCCCTCCTGCTTTCTTCCAGCCTTCCTTCTGCTTGGGTAGGTGAGTCAGGCTTTTCTGTAGAACGTTTTCCTGATCCACCTAGTAACCCGTCTTTGCCCTTTTGCACATCCTGGTTAGCCACGTTCAGAGAAGATGAACTGAAAATGAAACTATTTCAGGAGTCTCACCAGGTGCCTTTTGGAGGGAAATATTAACACTGCTTTGTCTTTTCAGGGAATACTTTTCTGAGTACAATCCCTAGGCTGCGTCCTTTTTGTTGGCTTAAGCAGTTGTGATTGATAACTAATCAAAAAATGACTAATGCAGAACTCTTGTGTTGTGTGTTTGTTCCCCCCCCTTTCACCTCCGACTGCTAAGCTCACAGCACACAGGTGAAATGCTTTGGCTTTGGTCCTAGGTGCTTGACCCGCTCTTTGTATGATTGAGCTGACTGCAACTCATTTTTACCCTTACCCATGAAGATAACCACCTAGACCTGAATTATTGATCTTGAATTGAGGATGACAAAGGCAGAGGTAATGATAAATTTAATTATAATGCTGGTTTTGTCATTAATGAAAATATTAATTGTGATCATTAAACTTTGAAGGAGCTCTAAGAGCCGCTTTTCAGCCTACCAAAACCAGTCTTACTTTGCACTGAGCTCCTCAGGCTTCTGATTTCTTTCTGACCAGCAGCATGACATCCTAATTCACATGATGAGCAAGACCAGCGTTAGTACGGTATGTTGTCATCTGTCTTAATGGTTCACTTTTTCCCCATTTCAACCAGTAAGAAGCTGTTGTGCCAAAAGCTGTATGTGAAGATATATGCAATACATCCTGACCTCCCGACTGTCAGGAGGAAAGAAATTGTTTAGTATGCTCTGATTTACCATTAATAAACCCAGGCTGTGTTTTGTGTCACTTTCTATACTATTATTGTTACATACTTTTCTTCTTAAACCTAGACATACTTTTGAGTTCAAGCTAATTAGTCTTGCATAGATCAGCACCTTTTTGCCTTTTTTAAAAATCTTGGTAATCTTCAAACATATTACCTTCACTCTAAAATGAGTCTACCTCACCTGCAATTTCATATGCCAGTTCTTTCAGAATTACAGAAAGGCAGCTGGGGGGGTCAGAATTAAGGTCCACGTAGTCTGATACGTCCGACCAACACTGGATGCGAAGGAAAGAATGGCCTGGGGCAAGTGTGCGGTGATGCTTCTGGGATGGCAATCAGTGCCTTCCCTTGAGTGCAAATGAAGTTGCCCTTCCAATTCCAAAATGATGGAGCTGTGCAACACCATGCTCAGTTTCAATGGCCATCCTGCCTTTGCTCCATGGAGACATTATGGTCCTCACTGAAAACTGAGGCAGAGAATTGGTTTCTTGTGGGGTTATATGTAAATTTAGTTATCTGTATATTGTCCTCATTTTTCCCTGTTGCCTTTTAGGTATGAGAGAACATCCTATTTGTTTTAATATCCTTTGCAAGGTCAATTTTGGCTTACGTTTTGGATGAGAAATAATTTTTTTGAGAAGCTTTTCCCTTTTTATTTTTTTTGGAAGGGTCTCAAATTTTTTGTCTGGAATTCATGCTCATTCAGATTTTAAAAATCAAAAGCCTTATTCTTAGATGTACCTTTGTTTATTTGTCCTGCCACTTTATTTTAATCTGCGATCACTTATTTCTAAAAGAAAATCTTGCAACCCTTCTATCTTCCTTGCTTAACAAAATGAAATGGATTGGCTTTTGCTTTTACAGATTTAGGGGCTATTTGGTAAAGAGAAATGTCCCTCTCCAGGTTGTCTCTCGAACATTTTTTTTGTCCTATTTTTTTGAGGATGCCAACCTCCCATAAGGGTATAACATATAGTGATATTTAGTCTCTGGTTTAGCCCCTATGGTCTCTGGACAGCAGTCCTTTCCTCTAGGCAGTGCTGCTGCCCAGGGTGGCAGACATGGATGTCACCTGCTGGTCAGAATGGTCAGAAAGGGATCAGAAGCCTGAGGAGCTTGGTCTCAGGCAAGACCGTAAATCGGTGCCCTCCTCACACTGCCGGTATGGCGTGGCCACAGATCTGCCCTGGGAAGATCACTTCAGCTGGGGCCAGGACTGGTGCTTGGTGAGCGCTGAGGAACTGACTAGAAGAGATGTTCTGCTGGTTGACAGCCAGCTGAACATGAGCCGGCAGTGTGCCCAGGGGGCCAAGAAGGCCAACAGCATCCTGGCCTGTATCAGAAATAGTGTGGCCAGCAGGAGTAGGGAGGGGATCGTGCCCCTGTACTCAGCCCTGGTGAGGCCGCACCTCGAATCCTGTGTTCAGTTTTGAGCCCCTCACTACAAGAAGGACATTGAGGTGCTGGAGCGTGTCCAGAGCAGGGCAACGAAGCTGGTGAAGGGTCTAGAGCACAAGTCTTATGAGGAGCAACTGAGGGAACTGGGGCTGTTTAGCCTGGAGAAGAGGAGGCTGAGGGGAGACCTCATCGCGCTCTACAAACACCTGGAAGGAGGTTGTAGCGAGGTGGGGGTTGGTCTCTTCTCCCAAGTAACAAGCGATAGGACGAGAGGAAATGGCCTCAAGTTGCGCCAAGGGAGGTTTAGACTGGACATTAGGAAAAACTTCTTTACTGAAAGAGTGGTCAGGCCTTGGAACAGGCTGCCCAGGGAAGTGGTTGAGTCACCATCCCTGGAAGTATTTAAAAGACGTGTAGATGAGGCGCTTAGGGACATGGTTTAGTGGGCATGGTGGTGTTGGGTTGATGGTTGGACTTATGATCTTAGAGGTCTTTTCCAACCTTAATGATTCAATGATTCTATGATTCTATGATCTTCTGCACCCTGAGCTCAACTACTTGCCCTGATCATAATGTTGTTTAATGTTGCGTTTCTGCTGTAACCGCTGCTTCCTGGTTGTCCTTGCGTTAATGACTGCCAGCTTTTAATATGCATTGTGACTGTATCAAAACCGGACCTGTACCAACAGCAGCCAGAGTACATATTTGCTTCCTTTGTGGTTATTCAACTGTCCCAAAGTGTCATGGTCAGAACAAAGCAGTGCCAGTGTGTGGGGTGGTTTTCTCTTCATACTGTTGCCAGGTACTGTCCTGGGGTATGTTATCATCAGTGATGATGTTCTAGAGCAATACAGCATTGTCCAGTCAATGTCAAATTGATACCAGCATTGGTATAAGAGCTGGTATACCAGTGTCACCAGCCCCTTCTCTTTGAATGAGCCTGTATTTTTGGCATACAACTGGCAGGTCTTGACAACGTTTTCAATCCACCTACTCATTTCAAGCTAATACAAAATGTCTTTTAGCCTTCTTAGATCTCTCTATATATAAAATAATTTTACTAGTCAGAGTCTAGGTGCCTTTAAACAGGTTTACACCTGTACCAACAGTTTCCTTATATGCCAGGAAGAGGTTGCTCATAACCTTTTGTATTCATAGCTCTACCATTTTTTTTTTAATGGTTTTATTTTGAGCTCTTGTAATTGCTCTCTGAGCTGTACAATACTTTACTGATACACCACTGGACTATATTTTAGCTCACTTCTGATAGATGCTCTGGGAAAAATTCCTGCACTCATCAAATCTCTCCCCGGTTGGCGTTTGTTTTGCAAATTACATGTGTTGACTTCAAACACAGAGAGCCTTTTGGTAATATCTGAAAGGCATGTTTCTTGAGGCTGTTGATCATAAACAGATTTTTGTCCAGAGTCAGACAACACTCGTCTGCCATGAACAGTGCTAAAAATTGTTATGAATATACACTGCGACCAAACCTGCTGTTTCTGCTCAAACACGCTGGTTACTGGTGTCTGTTGGTGCCCGGTGCACATACTACCAGCCCCTTGGGCTGAACCATGTGCTGCTGGTGTTTTAAGACTACAATGCCCATGCACCCCTTCAAGGCCTCACATTTACTGTACTGAAGTTTTTTATTTAACTCCTTCAATTTTCCCACCATCTTTACTAAGATTCGTATTGGTGCGTTGGATACTTTTGCATGGGAATGCTCTAAAGCAGTCGATGCAGAGAGCTTAATTAGGTGCCCATTTCTGAACTTAGCTTATTGTTTTAAGGAAGTTTGTATTCCTTCCTGCTCTGCAAGACATCTGGTTCCGATTGACTCCTATTTACCATGATTTCACTGTATTCCTAGGAATGCTCCTTCTAATAAATACAGTTTGCTGTAGCTCTAGTCTTATACTGCCAGTTCTTTCCAATGCTGCTCAGAAGATTAAGTCATGCTCGACCAACCTGATTGCCTTCTGTGATGAAATCACTGGATCTGTGGACGGGGGGAGAGCAATGGATGACGTTTACCTTAGTTCAGCAAGGCTTTTGACACTGCCTCCCACAATACTCTTGTATTCAAGGCAGGATATTAGGGACTGGGTGGATGGACAGACAGCTAGAAGACGGGTGAAACGCTGGTTGGATGACTGGTCTTGGAGGGCAGTGGCTCCTGGGTTGTGCTTTACAGACCCTTGCAGTTCTCTACTTGTCACTGGGGTGCGTGCTATTCAACATCTTCATCATCTTCAGCATCTTCAGTGGTCTGGAGGAGGCGAAGCAATGCACCCTCGTCAAACTTACAGATGACAAACGCTTGAGGGCAGGGCTGCCTTTCCTAGGCAGGCTGGAGGAATGGGCCAACAGGAACCCCATAAAATCCAGCAAGACCAAATGCCAAGCCCTGCCCTAGGAAGGAAGAGCCCTGGGCACCAGGACAGGCTGGGACTGCCTGGCTGGGGAGCAGCTCTGCAGAAAAGGCCATGACAGGCAGCAAGATGAACACGTGCGTGAATGTGCATCAGCACCTGCGTTGCTTTTCTAACAGACCTCTGCCTATGGAGTGTTTAGCTGAGGTAATTTAACAGCTATGCTTAGCTAATTTAAGTTTTACATCACCTACCACGATTGAAGTCCTCTCTAGTAGTAGCGTGACTTCCCCTATGACCTCTGAGCAGTAAGCTCAGTCAGGCTCATTGTATAATCTTAAAAATGAGGGATTTTTAAAAATTATGTGAACTGGATGTTAGAGTCTTTTTGTTTCTACTCCACCCTCTCAAGATCTACCCTGTCTTCTTTAAAAGTAGCTTTTGCTTCCCCTATATCTTTCTGATATGACAAAGAGCATGGTACATTTATAACATAAACATGGGAAGGAGGAAGCCATAAATGGGGCCTGTGTCTTTTCTAATGTGCTGTTAACCTGTATGTCCAGTTCATTGCTGATTATCTTTATGGTAATATCTTTATTGCTGCTTTCTGTCCATCTTCTGCTGCGACACTGGTGTTGCTGTGAAGAGTCGTGATTCTGGCATCGGTTTCCAGTTAAATGTTGCAGTATCTCTTGATGACTAGCAGCATGCCTGGCTCATGACCCATGAGGTTTTCACAGATCTGCTCTGTGCAGTGCCCAGGTTGCACCGTCACCCTTAATATGTGACACAGACCTCCCAGAAGAGCATCTTTCCCTCTGTCTCAGTGTCTTCTCTGGTAGGTAGAGCAGATCCGGGCCCCTTCCCCATCCCTGAGGGCTGGGGCACTGCGTGGCTCATATCCATACTCCTGAACTTGCTTCTGTCCCAGACGAGGGTCATCTCACCCAAACTGCCTCTCCTGAGCTCTTGCTGTCCCTTGAATTTTCTGGGAAGGGAGTAGTTGGCTCAGGCAAAACTTCTGGCAGGAGGTAGTTTGCCACCAGTGAAACAGTAGGGCTGGCTGTGAACCAGCTCTTCAGCCAGGGTGCTGGCCTGACTTGCTGGTATGAAGGTCTCTGCAGGATCCGTCTCAAACCCACTCTTCCTCATCCCAGTCTCTGGAGGAAGGGGATGAGAGTTTGTTGCCAGTGGTGGCACATCTGTCACCCTATGTCTCAGCAGCTTCCTGGTTGTTTTTGAAGTTTGTTGGGCAGGAAAGGGCTGGCTTTGGCAGAAGATCAGGCCAGCCCTGGAGTCATGGCTGGGAGGTCTTCTGCTGGGGGGCAAAACAGTATTTCACAACTGCTGGGACAGCGAGGTGACTGGGTGGCACACCAGCAAGGGCTGGTGTCGGGCAATTCGCATCAACTGCTGGTTTCGGAGGAAGGAAAACAATACTGCATCTGGGAAGGGAGTCAAGTTCAATGGCATTTGGTCTGTGGTTGGGCCCAAAAGCCCCTCAATTTTCCTTTTACCCCTCGGAAACATCAGGAAGGTAATGCTGCAACCAAGGCTTTTTTTTTTTCCCCTAAATGAAGTAATTTCTTGAAAAAGCTTTCATATCATAGCAAGCTCTAGCGCTTCAGGGCAGGCAAGTTATGGAGAGAGAAGAACGAGCATCCATACAGCAAGAAATGCTGTTAAATAAAAGAAATTATGTTTTTAGCTGTCCTGTTTCCAAATGTGGCTCCACTACGCTTAGCTGTCAGAGACTTTTGGTCTGGCGCTCTTTTAAATGTTGAAGCGCATTTATTCCCCTGGCATTGCAAAGGGCTCTTAAGGTGGGCACACGCTGTCTTTGGAGTCTGGGGTTGCAAACCAGAGAGCAGGGCCCACAGTCACGAGGAGGACGTGGACTGTTGCACGTTTCTGAGTGTTTTGCATCCACTTGAGGGCACCATAGTATTGCTGATAGCGGAGTTTTTGCTAACTGCATGGTGGACTGTTCCCTGCATTTTAAAGGAATCTTTTAGGAAAAAAGCAATTGCTTAATTTATTTAAAACCACCACCATCTTGTAAGAACGCCTATTTCTGATCTGTTTTATCTTCCCCCGGATTATGGGCATCTTGCCTTAGCACACAAGACCCTTTATTGCGGTACACATCTTATACCAACACTTCCAGTAACTCCAAACAGGGATATAAGCTTTGTGGATGAACAGACTCAAACGGAGAGAAAATAAGGAGTAATTTAGCTCTGAGCTCTTGTGAGATATGACCTTTGCTGGGAGAGCCAGGGCAGTGACAACTCATTTATTTGAGAAGGGCCTGAAAGCCAAAGGCAGCCACAGTGCCCAGCATCGCGGGTGGGCCGGGCATGCAGCCCCCACACCATTGCTCCAGCAGGCAAAGCCTCCTCCTCTGAGGTGCTGAACTTCTTCCTTCTCTTCTCCCTCCCGTGCCTGCT